CTATATGTTGCATGCACCTTTTGAGGAAAAGATCTCAGTTTATCGTCTTATCGACTTCTTTATAGATTTACAATGCCTACGAGATAGGAGAACTGCTAGAAGATGGAAGCCCAAAAGAGAATCGAAATCGAAAATGTTCGCTTAAGTCATCCAGGTTACGACGATTTCCGCGAAGCAAAGCATCTCCTCCAAAGTCAAACATGAACCTGGTTACTTCCCCATCCTCATCATTTCAGTCTTTATTTCATTTAGAGCATGTATGGAAGTTTTACACATCTTTGAAACGTTTTGTAGATTCTAGAGATTTTCTTTATTCACATTAGACGCGTTAGCTGATTTCGTTCGCACTAAGAAGATCAAAATCACACTTGTTTTCCAGTATTAAGCGCAAAGAGAGCGTTTGGGTGTCTTTGTATACGGTAAGTCTTAATAGTTTATTAGTGAATATTTGTTTCTAAGTCACTATTTGCGGTCATGCTATAAGTAAGGGGCTTTCAACTCTATTTGATTGCTTTCAATCTTTTGATAGTTTTCTTTGGTTGCTTAATTCAGTTAATTTCTCCGCCCTTAATTAATATAGATAACATTTCAGATAGCGATGGAATATTCGATATCTAAAATGAAATGAGCGAGTATCTGTGCAAATCTGATTTTGTGCGCACCATTACGACTAGTGCACCAGCATAAGGGGAGGAAACAAGGGGCAGTTGGGATTCGAATGACTGCTGCCGAAGGGAAAGAAAAATGCTCTTTGTTTTCTGAAACTCGCATGCAAATCCCAAATGAGACTCACAGAGCACATGGTGCATTTCTGTCACTTCGATGTATACTTGACACCATCTAAGTTCGGTCAAGTTTCTTCCAAGTAGTGCAAATTGGGTTACTATTGTCCAATTTGTAATGTTCCATTGCACGTATTTCTTTCCCAGCTCTAGAATCGTTGACTGCATATTGCCGTAGCCTCTTAGACGCAGGTCGGTCCCAATTTCTATGTCCCTATATCAGCAAGGACCAACCGTCAGTTTACTGTGGCAAGGAATGGGACTATATAGTACTGCGACGATTAGCTGTGTTAACAGAGGAAGAGACTGCAGAGTTTGAGAAAAAAATCTCTCGTAACTATCTGTTAAAGGGCATGGGCATTCAAGAATGTCCGAAATGCGAGTCTATGCTGCAACGAAGGGAGAAAAAGTACACACGAGTGCTTTGTCCCGTTTGTAGCAAGGACGAAGGCAAAGCTTACGAATTTTGCTTTCATTGTTTGCACAAATGGATGAATGGCTCTAGTAGGATCTGTTGTGGTACGTAGTTTTTGATGAAAATGTTAAGTCGTTCATTGTTCATCGAAGAACGTTCAGCGGGAGTCAGCTTTTCAACTTTAAGTGCGCCTTTATCATTAAAGACAACTTAAAGGGATAGATCCTCTCCATCGTCAACATTTATATAACTTGATCGTTTGCATTTTAGGGAATGACGACTGATCTGCTGAGGACAAACGCCTTCACGGTTCGTTCGCAATTGTGCCGGGAAGACTATCGGTGGAGTGGTGGGATGCTCCTCCCTTCGAGCCTGTGTGTCGTGTGGTATGATGATTGAGCATGTGCAGAAATGTAAGCACATGCACTGTCCCTGCGGTCAAGGTTTCTGCTTCATCTGCTTGGAGCCTATAGGACCCAGCGGTTGGAAATGTGGAGGTTCTGGTGAAGCATGCGCAGTGGCAGCTGGGCAAACTACGATTCCTGGAGATAATTCAATCAATCAATCAATCAATTTATTTAACGTGGTCAGAACGCTTGGCTAAAAGCTAGTTTACAGGTACGCCACGAAATAAAAAGAGAAAAGGAAATTATAAAGCCTTGTGAAGGTATATAAATTTAAATAAATTAAGAAATAAGAACTAGCTAATATTAAAATATAAGAATTGAACAATGTAGTCGCCAAGTTGAATATATAAAATGTAATCATTAAAAACAGGAAATATAATTAAGGATAGATCCTCACCGCGCTAGAGTCCCGTGAGATCTAATGTTTTTAAGTAATTTTTAAGAGTAGTAAATGTTTGTATCTTTCGAGACTCGTCCGGTAAAGCGTTCCATAGTTTCGATGCAGCATATCTCCATGATCTTAACCCGAAAGTTGTTGATTTTACTTTTGGGAGGTCCAGTATTGTGGTGCCCCTAAGGTTATAAGTGGAGCACCTAACTGTTATAAGATCACGTAAGCTTTTTGGTCCTGCATCACTGGTTAATATCTTAAAGACAGTGGACAATATTTTCGCTAATCGCTGTTCACGAAGACTTGAGAGACCGATACGCTTACAAAGTTCCTCATAAGGCGAGGACTTATCTCTAAAAACAAAACGGAGCGCACGTTTGTTCACCAACTCTAACTTGTCAGCTGACTTCTTATTACAGAAGTGCCACGTTTCGGAGCAGTAATTAAAGTGTGGTAAAATGAAGGCTTTGTAAAGATCCCTTCTAGTCTCAAAAGACAACATTTTCTGCATCCTTTTTAACATGTGTTAGATCACATGACAATAATTGTGTTTATCAGAGTGAAAAGACAATAGCGATTTCTCAGCTGTGAATAGCCCCTATCGCATCTACGCCCACTGTACGAGAGCTCAGCGGACTTTGAAGTTTCGAAACGA